CCAGGGGCTGGCAGGAGCCTCCTCAGGGGCCCCGCCCCATCTCGGGGTGCCTGACCGACCCGCCCCAGGAGTCCTGGCTGAGAACTCAACCACATCAGGGGAGCACAGCTCAGCAGCAGGAGCTCCAGACTAGCCAGACATCTGGGTCCCCACAGAGACGGTGAGCGGAAGTTGGTCCTTGCGTGGGACAGTAGTGGGAGGGGAGGCAGGTCTCGCTGCCCCATTCTGGGTGTCTCTGCTGTGTCCCTGTGCTTCTCCAACTCAAAACCCATTCATTCAGCTCCCTGAGCCCAAGCTAACTCAACCACCCCTCCTTCCCCACTCCAACTCTGCCCTCCTTCCCTACCTCCACCCTGAGACTACTGCTGCTCTTCTCTTCCTCGGTCTACAAAAGAAGAAAACCTTGTTCCAGGGAGGATGGGGCTGCCTTCTCCTCAGCAACACCTGCCATTCTCGATTCTGTCTAGGAGGCCACAGACCCTGCCTGGGAGTTGGCACCCAGCCAAGGTGCTGGGTGGCCTGGGGCAAGTTGCTTAACCTCTCTGGGCCTTGAACTGTTGAATGGATTTGGTAGCTGGGGATCAAGCAGAAGGAGGTGGTTATAGGAACATGCTTTGAACTCCAGAGAGTTGGGCTGCTAAAATAGCAGGGATGCTTATTAATAATGCCTTGGTCACAGCAATAATTACCCCCATCTGGCTCTGTGCTGGTGGCCACAGGAACAGGGGAGATTCCCAAGCCTTGGCTTTTATTTATGTTGAAATGATTCTTCTAAATTTGCCTGGTGGGCTCAGAGATGGAAGGATGGGTCCCCCAAAACTTACTGGAAAGGGGAAGAATGTGCCCCCCGCCCCATCCCGGATGTCCAGGAAGGGGCACTGGGTCTCAGGCAGGGCTTTAAAAAGTTCCTGATGATAGTGGTGGCTGCCATTTATGATTTATTTTCTAACCATGATTGTATTTAACCCTCATAACAGCTCCAAAGAAACAGGTACTGACCCTGCCCCCCTCCCTTGCCACCAATCACAATAGGGAAACTAAGGCTCAGAAGAGTTAGTTCACGTGGCCAAATTTGGACAACTAGGAAGGAAGAGGCCAGAATCGGAACCACTAGGAAGGAAGAGGCCAGAATCAGAATCCCCAGCTAACTCCATGTCCTTGCTGTAACCATCACTCTGTCCTGCCTCTCAAAGAGGCCTCTTCGGCTGTTGCAGAAACCAGAGGGCTGAGTGTGGTGGATTTGCAGACTCTGAGATTTTCTGTAATCCTGTGGAGGTGGATTTGGCAGCCACTATTCCTAGCAGAGGCAGAACCAGGGATGCTCAGGTTTTCCGGGCAGGGGTCAGTAGGTCTGGCGTTGGTCTCTGGGCTGAGGAGGAGAAAGGACTGCAGAGAGAGGGAAAATACATACAAGAGGCAGGAGTTCGGGGTGGTGGTGGTGATGGGGGGGAGTAGGAGGTTCAGCTGGGGGACGCTGGGCTCTCCCTGCCACTCCCTGGCTATTTTGGGCCCAAATGGATAATGACAGACTCGGGCAGGAGGCTGGGGCTCACTTAGGGAAGAAGATGACCTCAAGGATACTGTCTTGTATATTCCTGGGGGGGGGGGGATTCTCTGGGCCAGGAGGAGTAAGCAAATAGGTGTGTGTGTGTGTGTGTGTGTGTGTAGGATACAGTTTGGGCTGCAAATCGGGATGTGTAAGAAATGTGTGCACCCAAGTGTGTGCTCATGTTCAAGTTTAGGTGAGTTTCAAGGAGAGGAGAGCTTGTGGTTGTGAATTACTTATATATTATGAGTATGTACATGGGAGTCACTGTGTATATGTGATTTGTGTGTCTGTTGTGTCTTTGTGTATAACTCTGTTACTGGGGCTTTTTTGTGTGTCTCAGTGTGTGCCTGAGTGTGTGCTTTTGTGTCTATGCATGTATCCTTGACTATGCATGTCCAAGTAAGTGCCTGTGTGATTCAGTGGGTCTGTACCTGGGTCTGTGTGTCAGTGTGTGCCTGTGTGACGCATGTGTTTGTCGGCGTGTGGGCCTGTGGACTGGTTTGGCCTAGTTTGGGGGTGACTCACAGGTAAGCGGGAGAATCCAGGACTTGTTGGGTTAGACAAAGCTCTTTCCCACACTCCCCCTGCCCCCTCCCCAGCCTCTCCCTGCCCAGGCCCACACATGTTGTTTGGAGATCACAGGTCACCATGCTAACAAATCCATTTCTGGTCTGGGGCCCTGGAGAAAAGAGGGCTGCTGGGAATGGGCACTTTGGCTGGCTCAGGAAGGACATCTTAAGCCATTAAGGTATGTTTTCAGAGCAAGGACAAAGGGATGGGAGGGAGCTATAGGCAAGCAGATTCTAGCACAGTTTGAAGAACATTCTAACAGTCATGACCATCCAGGAATGGGACTGGTGAACTGTCAAGTGGTAACCTCCTTGTCCCTAGAAGTATGCAAGCAGAAGCAAATGACCACATGTTTGTGGAATGAGTGACTGCCAGGGGTGTTGTCCATGGGTTGGGTTGGGTTGAGAAAGGCATTAAGTTCTGATGGTCAGGAGGTCATTGACAAAATCTGATCTGATTATCTGATTACTCTCCTGTCAAAACCCACATGTGGTTCCTGTTCATGTCTACTTCTTTGATCCCTGGACTCTTAGGTTACCACATTCATGGGGAAGTCAGCTTTGAATGGACCTAACCCACATCTGACCCATCACTTGGCACAAATAATATTGAATGAATGAGAGAGTGAATGAATGAGTTAGAACTCAGGCTCTGCCACTTATCATAAGCGCCACTAGGGACAAAGAATCTCAGTGAATGGTAGTTGCTATTATTCAGAAATGCAGAGGATACACGGTAAGCGAGTGAAGGACTTATGGGGGACGACTCAGTGAAGGGGTAAAACTCCACGTGCAGGTGGACCTGTGAGGAGGTTAAGGGTTCTCTGAGAAGGCTGGGAGATCAGTAATGAGGATAGGGAGAGAGTTGGGGCCTCAGTGAAGGGCTGAGATCTAGGGCCTCAGGTGTCTAGTGTGTTCCGCTCTTAGGAAGCTCTCAGGAAGCCTGGAGAAAGGAGCCCACGCTCCTCCCATCCCCACATGTTCATGCCAAGTCAGGCACTGTCATAGCCACCAGCAGTCCTAAAGTCAGGTCAGGCTTCACTGGCTTCCCTGTGCCTCAGGTCCTGTCATCTCTGCCCCTCATAAAACCTGAGTCACTGCTGGGACACAGGGCAGGGTCAAAGTTCTGGGTTCTACTGGCTTCTCAGGAGAAAAGGGGGTGGAGATGGGGTTGGGGGTCCTTATCTTGAAAGTTGGGGACACTGGGTCTATTTCTGGTTCAGGGTGGGGTCTCTGGGGGCTGCCTTGTGAAGTGGAGGTAGAGACCTGAAGATAGGCTAGTCCTGAGGCTGGAGATGAACAGGACATCTCTGGGGACCTTGGGGTCTGAGAATAGAATTCTTTTGGTCAGTGTAGCTGAAAGAGGCTCCTAGAGTCAGGGGCTGGGAGAATGGCCCCTCCAGGAGTGCTGTGGTTTCCTTTAAATGCAAACTTCAAAACCAAAGAATCTCAGTTTGCCAGATAAATACATTAAAGAATTTGGCATAGTGGTTAAACACATGGACTTTAGGCCCAGGGTTCAAGTCCTGACTCTGCTATTTTGTGACTCTAGGCAAGTTACTTCATTTCTCTGAGCTTCTGTCCCCTCATCTGTAAAATGGGATTGTTTATAATTTATTAACACTTTGTTCTTTATGTGATATCAAATCCATGGGGTTCTTCTAGGATTCAATAGGACAATAATTGCAAAGCAGTCAGAAAGGTGTTTCACACAGAGTAAACCCACCAAACCTACCACTGTCAAGTTGATTCTGACCCATAGAGACACTATAGGTCAGGGTAGAATTGCCCTATATGGTTTCCAAGACTGTGAATCTTTAAAGAAACAAGCAGGTGGGTTCAAACCATCGAATGCTTCAACTACTGTGCCATCAGGGTTCCTTTGCACGGAGTAAGCCCTCAATAAATGGCTGTTACTGTTATTACTATTAATACAGAATGACCCATATTCCTTTATGTTCTGTTCCTTTTCTCTGTTTCCAGGCTCAATCCTTAGCTTTACCTTTCAAAGAACTCTGGCCTAGGGGATTGTTATGGTTACCTAGTGCCCTCTGACAAGAATATACCACAAATGGGATGGCTTGAATAAATAGTTTATTCTCTTACAATTCAGGAGGCTAGAAGTCCAAGTTCAAAGTGCCAGGCTCTAGGGGCTGTGTGAAAGCCCCTTGACCTTGGGCTCAGCTCTGCCTCTTGCTCCTGGCCCACTGAAGCTAGAGGCATTTCTTCACGCAGGCAGCTACTGGCTGCTGAGGCAAGCAAGCCCAAGGTCAACAAATAAAATGGCACCATCTCGATGTTACCAAACCACACAGCAGGCCATTAATTCAAGTCCATTGAAAGTCCCAAGGTTGGCAGAGCATGGCAGGCTGCTGAACAATGACTCAGCTACATGCAGAGTTCAAGCGTGCCATAAGCTGGAGACCGTTCCCCCAAGGCTTCTCCTTATATACAGGAAGCACACCACATCCCTAAAGCAGCTATTCAGCTGCTCACAGTAGACTCTACCATGGAGTTGATTACCAGTCTCATCATGGGGAATACTACATCCAGCTGCCTAGCCACTCAACCAGGCCCAGCCAAGTTGACACACAAACTGAACTACCACAGGGATCACCTAAAAATGGGGATAAGGGACCCTGATGAATTGAGTCAGAGATGAGAGTATCATGCCCATATTACAGATGAGAAAACAAAGGCCCAAAAGGTCAAGGGATTTGCTCAAGGTCACCCAGCCTGACCTTGGCAGTAGTAGTTATTCTGTATTGAGGGGGAGCCACTCTCACCATCCCCTGACCCTCATCTATCTTCTTCCTGGCACTATCTGCAGGGAGCTGAACCACAGTGAGACACGGACACCTCAGGACACCTCAGGGCCCAACATGGAGGAAGCAGCTGGGCCCCCTGCCCGGACCGAGGCCCGAGTGGTGAGTGCCACACTGATGTGGCGGCAGCAGCCTCCTGCTCAGGAAGAGATCAGACACCATTTTCACAAGATGTCTCTGGTGTCAGGAACCCGGATGGAAGCCCCCCGGGAGGAGATGTTTGAGTACAGCCACCATCGAGAGGAAGTCAATGGCTTTGCTATACGGGAAGAAGAGACTGTGAATTATCAGGGTCCTCGGAATGGGACTGGCCTGAAGAGCTTCCAGAGCCATGGGCCCATCTTTTCCAAGAAATATGCACCACCTCCCAAAGAGAAGAGGCCAGTGGTGAGGCCAAAGGACTCTATAGACCAGGGTGACAGCAGTCTCCAGCCTCCCAGGACTGAACCCCCAGGCCCAGGAGCCCCAGCCAGGACTGAGTTCTTGGTGCCCCTGCCTGGGCCCCGTGAACTGAGCCCTCACCCAGGTATGGGTCTTGCCAGTGAGGGCCCCAGGCTCCACGAGGAACGGCGAGTGACACGCACTGTGCGGACTACCACAGTGGTGGCAGGACAGGTGGACCAACGAGTGAACAGCTCTGTGACCGTGAGGCCAGTGCTATCGGGTGAGGCCCTGCCCAGAGGCCGCAATGCTGTCCGCACAGTCCGGGCAGTGGTGGTGAGCCCCCAAGCTGAAGGCTTACCCAGCCGCAGCCAGGCCTTGGAGCTGCTAACAAGCCTGGTGCCTCCTGAACGCAGCCCACCCGCCAGTCGGATTCCCAGGCCCATGGTCGTTGTGCCAAGGAGCCCAGGTCTGGGCGGCATAGGGAGGGCAGCAGAACCAAAGGACAGATCTGCCCTGGCCCCTGTAAGCATCCCAGCAGGTGCTCACCCACCTCAATACCCTGCAGCGCCCCCAGACCAAGACCAGAGCAGAGTCCTAGAGACCAGGACTCATGAGGCCCCCAGGGTACAGAGAGCCTCCAGTCCCACTCAACTTTCACTCCAGACTTCTCAGGACCAAGTGCCAGGACCCTCCTCCCCCAAACTTCAGACCCATACCCCCTCCCTGGAACTAGTCCACCCACCAGAGCAACCTGTGGTGTCCACTCACCCCAGGACTCAGCACACTCTCAAGCCCAGGGTGTCCCATGACCTGAACTCTGTAAAAAGGGAAGGGCTCACGGAGCCCTTGGCTGCCACCACCCTGCCCATGGTGAGGAATGGGGTTGTCATGACCCCTGGGCAACTTCTTGCTCCGTCCTCTACAAAAAGGAAGGCTGCTTCTAGCCCAGGAGGTTTTTCTGCTCCATCATTCCCAAGCAGTAAGGTTGTTCAGGACTCTGAAGACATTCCTTTCTTCTCCCTCAACCAGAAAGAGGGAGTGGAGGACCCTGGTGCTCCTGCTGCCTCTTCACCCAAACCATCCAAGGTTACCCAGGACGCAGAGGGCAACCCTAGCTCATCCTCCACCCAAAAAGAGGTTGGACAGGATGTTGAAGGCAATCTGGCCCCTTCCCTCACCAAAGAAGAGGTCGTCCAAGGCCCAAGTGCTCTGGCGTCTCCATCCCCCAAACAAGAAAAGGCTGTCCAGGGTTCTGAAAGCAGCCTCATCTCATCTCCTACCCAAAAGGAAGTTGTCCAGGACTCTGGTGCTTCTGCTGTCCCATCTTCTACCCAGAAAGTTGTTGTCCAGGGCCCTACTGTCCTCCCTGCCCCAGTTTTCTCAGTAGACAAGGTACCCCTCAGCCCAGGAGGCTCCCCTGTACCCGTGCCATTGGGAGCAGAGGCCAGCCTGAAGTCCCAGTTTGTTCCTGACTCCACAAAGAACAAGACATTCCCAGAGCCATCAAAGGAAGAGGATGAAGTGGCCCTGACTGCAGATTTGGAGATTTTCCTGGATACCCTGCGGAGCATGGAGCCCCCTGAGATCCTTCGCACTCACAGACTGCCACGAGCCCCCCGCTCCTCCTACCTGGCCATGTACGCCACACTCCCTGCCATCGAGGAGGACCAGCCTGGGCCACGGGTGCTGGGACCCAGCCCCCAGGAGGCGCCAGCACTAGAGCAGGGAGAGGAGGAGGAGGAGGAAGAGGAGGAAGAGCCAGAGAACCCCTACCTGAGCGATGAGGAGAAGCTCCAACACAGGCAGGAGAAAGCTGGGCCTGGCCCCTCTTGGGACCCCCGCCCTGCCAAGCCTCCTCAGGACTTCCGCTCTCCTCTGGAGATGATGAAGAAGCATGTAGCAGGTGCCAAGGGCTCCAACCCAGAGCTGGGGCTGGAGTGGCAGGCCGGTAACAGGCCCACTTCCCGTCTCGGAGGCAGCCTTCTCTTTGGTGGTCTGGTGCCTGGTGTCAAAGAGCCACTGGGCACAAAACTGTCTGCTCTGCCACCCCATGGGACACCAGGGCTCAGGAAAGTGCTGGGACAGTTGCCTCTGCTGTGCAGTGAAAGGCCAGCGCCAGAGAAGCCCACCCGAGCCCAGCCCCTGGAGGGGTGGGTGAGTGAGGCTTGGGTGGGCAAGGGAGGGTACTTGGTCTCCCCTGGGTCAGGACTTTGGGTGGCGTGAGGAGCCCTGTACTGGGAGTCAGAGTCTCTGGAGGCAGGAGGTTCGGGTCTGAGGTCCAGTTCAGTGTGACTGGGTGCTACCCACTTCTCTCTGAGCCTCAGTCTCCCCATGTGTACAGCAGGGGGTTTGTACTGTGGATTTCAAAAGGCTTGGTGGCTCTGAAGCTGGGGAGTGATGGGTACCCAGCCCCTCGGACAGGGTTGATGAGACCCCTAGGGGTTGAGAACAAGTGTGACATACTCTGTGGGCCAACTCCTTGAGGGTATAAGAGAATAGCAAGGATGAGGGATCCCTGGAATGGCAGGTGGTGGGGAGGCGACCCCTGTAAGACTTCTTATCCCTCCCCTCCCTCCCAGAGCCCAGCATTGAAGACCCAGGGCAAGCTGAACACTAGGCCTGGAAAGGTAGGTGTGTGGGGACAGTGGAGGCAGGGCAGCAGGAAGCAGGGGTCTGGGGACAGGGCCTGAGTGCCTCCTCTGTGCCTTGTCCAGGTGATTCTCTTCTCGGAGCCCAGCTGCCAGGGCAACAGTAGGGAGGTCTGGGAAGACATTGCCGATGCCTCAGGCTGGGCACTTATGGCCTCCATAAGGGTGGTTCGAGGCTGGTGAGTGAGGAGTACCCAGTGGGTGTCCTGGTTGTGAACCTGGGGATTAGGGGGCACTGAGAAGTGTCCAGCCCAACCTAGCAGAAACCCCATCAGCTGCCTTGTGGGTACATCATCCTCTCAACCCAGTGCTCACAGCTCTGTGCTCACAGCTGGGTGCTGTATGAAGAGCCGGAGTTCCGGGGCCAGAAGCTGGTCCTGCCTGAAGGAGATGTAGAACTCCAACCAGCGTGGAGTTCCAAAGGCATTGGTTCCCTGAGGAGGGTTGTCCAGGTGAGTAGGCTGAGGATGGGGATGGGAGACCAGATGTTGCCCTGTCTGCCCTGTGCCCTGCTCTCTGGAATCCTAGTCTGGAGCGAAACATGAGCCAGTCAGAGGGAGGAGACACTCCAGTCTGAGGAGGAAGACAGCCTCAGTTGCCTAGAATTGGAATCTCTGGGTTTAATTATGGCCGAACCTATGGATTCCTGACCTTGGAGCCAACTAGGGGAAGAAAAGGGTTCTGGGGAATGTGCAGAGGCTGGCCTGAAGAGGCAGGGCCAGGCAGAGGCCAAGTCCCAACTTGGGAAAGCAGCCTGAGGAAGTGCTGGCTGGTGCTACAGAAAGACTAGGTGAGAGATGAGGAGAGATGATGTGTCTTAACTAGGGCAGTGGCCCAGCCAGGCAAAGCTTTCAAAGCTTCTGAAACATACAGATGTTTCTGGATAATTTATTATGGGCCTCTTCATGGGAGTCATCTGTCACCCAGGGCCCAGGCTCTTAGGCCCACAGTCAGACTCATGGATGCCATGGGGTGTTTGTTCGTTCATTTGTTCACAGATGCTCACTGATGCCTGCTGTGTGCCAGGCACTGTGCCTGGCAATGGGCGGGCAGGGGAGACCTGCTTTCTGCCCTGCAGGCCTCATAGTTAAGCCAGGGTATGAAGCTGGGTTTAAAGCAGGAAGCTGAATAACCAGATTGGGGATTTAGAAATGTTTGTCAGGTTGGCAGGTGGAGGCCTGGAGACCAGGAAGGGCTGTGATTTCCAGTCCAAGGGGCACTGCTGAATTTTGAAAAAGGAGGATGTGGCTTGAAAAGGCATAGTCAACACTATAATTTCCTATTATGAAAGTAGAAAAAACAAAAGAAAAAAAAAAAAACTCTATTGTTTTCCCAATATAAATTTGTAAACTGCAAAAATTAAGTTTGACCAGAAAACCATCCTGACATTAAGGAAGACCCAGAAGAGAGAGCTGGGGCCTGTAGTTTTTTTTTTTTAATTGTGATTGGAGTGAAAGTTGACAGAGCAAATTCATTTTCCACTTAACAATTCCTACACATTTTGTTTTGTGACATTGACTGCAATCTTCACAATGTAACAGTTCTCTTCCCACTTCCTGCCTGTGATTACCTTTTCCCTGTGTCCTTCCTTTTTTTTTTTTTTTTCCCCAAATGAAAGAATGGGTTACTCCAAGTGCGGAGCATCTCCTGGTGAGAGATGATGAACAATGATGAGTCTTAACTAAGGCAGTGGCTCAGGAAAAGGAGGGGACAGGAGTTTTCAAAGCTTCTGAGAAACACAGAGATGTTTGTGGATAATTTATTGTGAGCCTCTCACAATAAATTCACCTTTGTGTGGGAGGTAATAAGGTACAAGAGAGAAAACAATGGCTTTGAAGTCAGATGGACCTGGAGTCATTTGGTTCCTTCAATAATAATTGGGTGCCTACTGTGTGCCAGGCATATGGGAGGTGCTAGGTGGTAATACTGAACAAAAACTACGAGGATCTATTCTCAACTTTGCTACTTACAAGCTATGTGACTTTGGAAAGGTTGCTTAAACTTCTCTGAGCTTCACCTTCCTCATCTGTGAGTGGAGTAATAACACCCACTGGGGGGAATAACTGACATGAGGAAGTGTCTTGCACTCAGTAGATGCTTCATAAGTGCTTGATGAATGAGTGAGTGAGTGAAAAATGGTCCTAATGAGGAAGACACATCCAAAATGCCGAGGGCCTGCTGCTTCCTGTGATGAGATGGAGGCAGAAGCCAGCCCTGCTAGAGGAAGAAGTTGTGCATAAAGAAAGGGTCAAAGTTAGACCTCAGTAGCTGTCAGTCTTGCCTGTCCCTCTACCAGCTAGAAAGGCAGACTACCCAGAAGCAGTGGAATGGGCATGGCGCCTCACCAGTTCCTGCTGGGCCTGGAAAGGCTTTGGTCTCAGGCTTGTCTGGCAGACCTTGTAGAGAACACCCAGTTACCTCCTGACACCTGAGGGAAATGGTTTCCAGAAGCCCCCTGGGGCCCTGGCTGGGCACACTGGGGGAAGCAGGTAGGGAACAGGGGTGGTCTCCAAGAGGCTTGTTTAATACTTAATTTTTCACCCTTTACCTTCCTTAGGACTATAGCACCCCGGAGATCAGCCTATTCTCTGAAGAGGGCCTCAAGGGGGAGCAAGTGAAGCTAAGCAAGGCCTTGCAGGACCCCCAGGACTTGGGAAGGCCCCTGAAGGTAGCATCCATCACTGTCTCCGCAGGACTGTGAGTCTGAGCTGTTCTGGTAGTTAATATTCATTGTGCTGGGTGCTGGGGACACAGAGGTGACAGGACACAGTTCCTGCCTTCAAGGAATGCTCAGTCTACTGATGGGGACAGGCAAGTAAAGAGTAGCAATCCAGAGTGCCAGACTGACAGTGGGGGAGCACAGCGCTGTGAAAGCACAGAAAAGCACCAAACCAGCCTAGGAGGTGGTGGTGGTCATAGAAAACTTCCTGGAGGAGGTGGTGCCTCATCTGGGATGCGCTAGAGTGGCCCAAAGAAAATCTAAGTTCCATGAGGGCAGAGATTTTTTTGTCAGTTCACCTTATCCCTCCCTGATGCCTAAAGCAGGGTCTGGCATGGAGTAATTGCCCCCAAAGTATTTGCTAATTGAATAAGCAGGGAAGGAGTATATCTGGCAGAAGGAACAGTTCATGCAAAGGCCCAGAGGTGAGAGAGCTAGACTTTGAAAGTTCTGCCTGGCCAGTATAAGGGGCAAGTGTGAGGACAAAGGCAGGGGTCAGATTACACAGGCCTCTTTGTGCTGCTGGGCTGTGTCGTGAGGGTAATGGGGAATGATTGCTTTTTGGTTTTTTACTGGGGGTTTTTAAGCAGATATGTGTGCTAGAAAGAACTCGGCCACTGCTGTGTGTAATTCCGGGGGAAGGGGAGGAGACTAGAGGCAGGGAGGCCGATGAGGTAGCTACTGCAAGAGATTATGGGGGCTTGAAATATCCTCTAGATTACCCTCAATGGGGGTCCTTCCTGAGACCTCCCACTCAAAATCTTCTCTCCCATCCACCAATCTGTGTCCTTGGGGTCTAGGGTTCAGCAGCTCCTTTGCTGTCCCCCAGGTGGCTGCTGTACCCCAAACCCTTTTTTGAGGACACTCCCTGCATCCTGGAGCCTGGAGAGTACCCCACCTTGGAGGCCTGTGGCACATCCGACCCCTTTGTGGGCTCCTTGAAACCCATGACATTGGTAAGGGGCAGGGCACACCCACAGTCTGGTGAGGTATATGGGAAGAGACAGGGCCTGGGGGCTCCCACTGGGCATAGGAATTGGAGGAGGCTGCATTAGACCAAGGGGTGGGGGAAAAATGAGGTCATGGGTGGTCATTTTCAGGGGTCTCAGGATCAAGAAAATCCTGTGTCCCTAGCCCATCTGTCTTCCCCATCTCTGGCCTGGTGTCTTAGCTCTGTTTCCTCTGCAGGGCTGCCCTAGTGTGGAGAGGCCAGGGGAGCCCAAGGTAAGAGCCTCAGGGTCCAAGAGGGCCTCTGGGAAGGATGTGGTTGTCATAGCATGGACTGGAAGGCTGGAGAGAGGGTGCTGGGAGTCAGAAGTTGAATCTGGGAGGATGCAACCTGATGTGCTTGCTGGGGACCAGCTTTTGATGTGCCAGGACCAGGTCACAGGTCAGAGTAGACAGGAGTTAGGTAAAGGCCTGAGGCTCCATGAGGGGTGGGAGCTCTGAGCTGATACTGGACCGAGCCACTCCTAGGCTGGTTGGGTGTTTGGGCCCAGACTACTCCCCCTAACCTAACCCCTGCACTCTCATGCCCACAGGCTGTGGTGTATGAGGCTCCAGGTTTTCAGGGCCGCAGCTGGGAAGTGAGCAGAGATATCTACAACCTTCAGCAGCCAGAGGACAGCCAGAGCCCCTGCCTGGCCTCCATGGGGTCCCTGCGTGTCCTTGGGGGCTGGTGAGGACTCAGGACCTTTCCTCCTACCTTACCTCCCACACCAGCCTCTACCCTGGGGCCAGGGAGTGACCAGGGCACCTGGGGGTGGGGGCAGCTGTCTTACCCATTCATAGGCTTCCTGTGACTATCTGTCCATTTTCCCCCTCCCTAGCTGGGTGGGCTATGAGAAGGAGGGCTTCCGGGGCCACCAGTACCTGCTGGAGGAGGGAGAGTACAGCGACTGGTCACACTGGGGAGGCTACAACGAGGTGCTGACCTCCCTGCGGGTCATCCGCACGGTGAGCAAAGGCAACTGGGCCATCCCTTGTCTTTGGCCACAGCCAGGCTTCTCCTCCAGTACAAAATTGTACTGGATTGCACCTGGATGTGTTCCCTGAACTCTAGCCTCTCTCTCTCCTGCTGTTCTTCCTCAGACTGCACAGATGCCTCACCCCTAAGTCCCCGGGTGGGCTGCGTCCCTGGGGCCTGGGCACTCCCAGGGGTTTCTGTCCATGGGCGGGAGGGGCTGGCTCCGACGAAACCTGACTGACCCTGGGGCCCAGGATTTTGGGGACCCGGCTGTGGTGCTGTTTGAAGCCATGGATTTCGAGGGGCCTGGCGTGGAGGTGAGCGAGGCATTGCCCGACCTGGAGTTGGCCGGACACGGACCCCGCACACAGGCCATACACGTGCTCAGCGGCGTGTGAGTGCGCACGGCTCCCTGAGGCGGGGCGAGGCGGGGTGAGGCGGGGGCGGTTCCAGGGGAGGTACTGGCTCCGCCCCCGCCGACCCGCAACCCGCCCCTCCTGCAGGTGGGTGGCCTATCAGGAGGTGGGCTTTTCCGGGGAGCAGTACGTTCTGGAGAAGGGCGTGTACCGCAACTGCGACGACTGGGGCGCGGGCAATAGCGCCCTCGCCTCTCTGCAGCCGGTCCTGCAGGTGAGGGCGGCCGCCGGGGGCGGGGTCTCTGCGAGGGGCGGGACTTGGAGGCTGGGTCTTGCTCTCAGCTGAAGGGAAGGACCGGCTCGGAACACGTGAAGGGGCGGGGCTAATGCGGATTCCAGAGAGGGAGAGCCATATTTCAGGGTCTGAGATATGGAAATGCTGGGTGCTAAGGCGAGGGGCTGGTACTCTTCTTAAGTCTCAAAATTTTGGTCCCTTCCTTCAGGTCGGGGAGCACAATCTGCACTTTGTCTCAAAGGTAAGGAGGAGTTTCCTTAGGGAGCTGATAGGGGCATACATACGTCTCCTCTCCCATTTCAAACCTTTTCCCCTCTTTACCATTCTCGCTCCCCAGCCCTATCGCCCTCCTTCGCTCTCATCTCCCCGTTCTGCCCCCAGATTCAGCTTTTCTCTGGCCCCGACTTCCTGGGTGAGCATATCTCCTTCGAAGATGACCAGGCCTCTTTGCCGCCCTCCTTCCAGGCTCAGTCCTGCCGTGTCCATGGCGGCAGGTGAGTGCGGGGAATTGCAGGTAACCTTGGAGGTGCAAGTGGGCACACCTGCCTTGAAGCACTTAGCTTGGGAATCAGAGCTTGCAGGAGAACGTCTGCCTTTCCAGTAAAAAGATGATTTCCTTCCTTTGGCCTCGTTGAGACTTGGCTGTTTTGTCCTGAGTAGTTCAGTCTTAAAGTTTTAATGGACAGTTGCCAAAGGGGCAAGGAGGCTGCATATTCTGACCTTCTCTAACCCACAAGAGAAAGACAGAATCACCATCAGCAGCCCAAGGGCTATTCCTGCGAGGCCAGACATGCTGCCTCCCTCCAGCCCTTTCACCAACTGTGGCACTCACCGTTCTTCCTACAGCACCCACCACCTCTCTGCTGGGTTCGATAAGTCACTACAGTGACCACACAGAACTCACAGGTTTATTACGGAAGCAGTAGGTTACAATTCAAGTTCAGGAACCTGCTCAGTCTCTAGCAGCCAGCTGTCTCACTTAGCAGCTGGCAATCTCTCTCTCAGCAGCACATGTCTCTTGCATCTCTCTCTCTCAGCAAGTACGTGTCTCTCAGGAGCATGTTTCTCAGCAGCATGTCTTTCTCAGCCAGCAGTCAGAGAGACTCCTACCTCTAGGAGGGCTCCTTTTGAGCTTGGCGGAGTGGCCAAACTAACCAATCCCAACATCAGAATTCTATACACCTGAGAGACAGAGAGAACTTTCCAGAAAATTTCTTCATGCTGCTCCCAACAGAAATACCCTACGTGGGTAAATTTAACAATCAGGAGGTACTCCATTGCTCATTGCAAATTCCAGCGTGGAGTTTACAAAGACTTATGGCTAGAAAAGCCACACTATGTAATTTACTACACTGCAACAATATAAAATGTATGTACTTAATATAGTATAACAAATCCCAATCTTGTTTCATCTATCCCTCTGCTGTGTGCATGTGTGGAGTATTTTAAATCCCAGACCCATCATGAAATTTCTCAGTAAATACTTAAAAATATAACTCTAGTTAGAAAATATTTTTCCCCTACAGAGTCACAAGGTATTATCACTGTGCTTCTGCTTTGTGCATGTGTGTGTGTATGGAGTGTTTTAAATCGCAGACCCATCATAGAATTTCTCCAGTAAATACTTAAAAATATATCTCTAGTTAGAAAATACTTTTCCCCTACAGAGTCACAAGTTATTATCACATTACTGCAAGTAGTGCTGCAATGAATAGCCTTGTGCATGTGTTATTTCATGTTTTGAAGAGTGTCCTTAGTATGTTAGCAGATGCTGTTGAGTCAGTTTCAACTCACAGCGCCCCTATGCACAACAGGACAAAGCGCTGCCTGGTCTGTGCCTTCCTCATTGCTGTGCTTGAGCCCATCGTTGCAGCTACTGTGTTGATCCACCTGGCTGAGTGTCTTCCTCCCTTTAGCTTACCTCCTATTTAACTGAGCATGATGCTCTTCTTATCATATGTCCAAAGTACACAAGACCATCCTCACTTCTGAGGAGCATTCCAGTTATACTTCCAAGACAGATTTGTTCTTCTGGCAGTCCATGGTATATTTACTATTCTTTGCCAACATTGTAATTTAAAGGCAACCATTGGTCTTCTTTATTCATTGTCCAGCTTGCTAGGATAGATTCTTAGAAATGAGTAATTGCACTTGCAGTTCTGCTTTATACTGCCAAATTCCCATCCATAGGGGCAGTATGATTTCATTCCATCCTTTCCTTTCTTGAATCTGACCTCAGTCCCTGATGCTGCAATGCCTGTTTTTTTTTTTTTTTTTTTTTACCTCTCCTGTACTAGGGGGATCCCTGGCAAGTCTGCATTCACTCTTCTGTACCTCAGGAAGCCCTGAGAAGGCTGAGAATAGGGTACCCACTTATGTTCCCTTCTTTTCCCCTTCCACAGCTGGATCCTGTTTGATGAGAAGAACTTTGAGGGTGACCAACACATTCTCTCTGAGGGCGAGTTCCCCACTCTCACGGCCATGGGCTGCCTAGCCTCCACGGTCCTGGGCTCTCTCCAGAAGGTTCCCTTGGTGAGTGCCCCTGTCCACACTCAGGCAACCCCTGAGGCAGGGAGAGCTGCTGGACAAGTCCTGGCCGCAGAACCTCTTCTCATTGAGAAATAGGCTGGTGAGGGTTCAACCCAGTCTTCTTCAGAACCACTCAGATCCCTTTGACCTTGAGACTTCAAAGCCAGTTCAGTCCACTATATGTTTAGTGAGTTTCTGCTGAGATAGGTCCTAAATTGTGTTGTTGTGTGTGGTCGAGTCAATGCAACCCTGTATGACAGAGTAGAACTACCCCATAGTGTTTCTTGTCATTTTTACAGGAGCAGATTGCCAGGTCTTTTCTCCCATGGAGTGGCTGTTGGGTTCAAACCATCCATCTTTCAGTTAGCAGCCAAAAGCTTGACCATTGTACCACCAGGCCTCCTTGGTCCTAAAATAGGGACACTGAAAAATATTAGACACAACCTCACTTTTAAGGAACTCATGGTCACATGGTCACATGGACATAAAGATGATAATGCTGAGTGATGTGTCCAGATAAAGAAGAGTACAGGGACAGGAGTGACTGCTCCTCAGGGTGGGGTGGGGGCTAGCACTGCCGAGGTGAGAATTCTATGCAGGGAAGAGTGGCAGGTCAGCTAGAGGAGTGACTGGTTTGTTGCTGCAGTAACCCAGAGTACCTGGTGATGTCCTGCACTAGGGAAGAGATGGAAAGCTCTGACACGGCTATATTAAGGGGCTGGAGTCTATGGGACCTGGTGAGTGAGTGGACAGGCTAGGCTGGTGGCCCCTAATCAGAGAAGCAGAGACATTCCCCAAACAGGGACTCCATACCAGGCAGTGTTTTGAGAACTTCCCACATATTAAGATGTTTAGTCCTCACTACAACCCTATGAAATATGCTACTGTTATAATCTCCCTTTTAAAGATGTGGAAACTGAAACACAGAGAGGTTATGCAACTTGTTTCAGTTCTAATCCCGCAGAGCCAGGTTCTAACCCAGGTACTCTGGCTTTAGAGTCCAAGCTCTTTACAACCAACCACACATTAGGTTCTGTGGACAGATAGACCTAATTTTGAAGGCCAGCTTTGGGGCTTTGGGCAAGTGTTTAATATTCTCCAACCTCACTTTCTCTCTGTTAAGTGGGAATAATAATAGCATCTACCTCTTAGACTTGTTGAGAAGTCCCAATGAGATGGGCTAAAACACTTAGCACAGAATTGGCAAGGGTGTGTGGAACACCCTGAATAAGTGAGAAGTACTGTTATGACCAGTATTATGGTTATTGTTACATTGAAGACTAAAAGGAGAATGTGAGAATGAGCCCCAGGTTTCCTCCTGGGGCTATCAGTTCTTAGAAGTGCCATCATCCGGGAGGAGGTCTGAGGGAGGACTCCAGGCCCAGGCTGGGGGCCCAGCCAGCAGTGTTGAGGTCAGTGGACCTGGGGGTGGAGCTCAGGAGGGAAGAGGACCTGAAATACAGATCTGGGTCGTGGGGCTGAGTCTGAGACTGGGACTCTTGTGGCCTCACCCCTCCTTCATCCCCCGGCCCCCCAGCACTTTTCAGAGCCCTCCATTTTCTTGTATGGGCTGGAGTGCTTCGAAGGGAAGGAGATTGAGCTCAACGGTGAGGTGCGGAGCCTACAAGCCGAGGGCTTCAACAACCACGTGCTGTCTGTGCGGATCAAGGGGGGCGTGTGAGTGTATTTTGGAAGTCCTAGGGGATGTGGGGGCTGCTGGGGGATGAGTGAGACCCCTGGGGTCTCTGACCTCTTCTCTCTCTCCTCTACCCTCCTCCAACCAGGAAGGAGGGAGGAGTGCAGACTGAGAGGGGTCACTGGCTTTAAAGGGTGGGAACCCAGCCCTCCATGGCACAGCTGGCCTCTTTAGGACCCCACTTTGCCCTGCAAATCCTAAATGACTTCCAAGCTTCCTTCTCCACCCTCGGGACCTAACTCCAGGCAGAGCAATCCCCACATGGGAGAAAAGGAGGTGGAGAAGACTCTAATGTCTGTATTTCCTTCCCCACTTGTCTGTCTGTCCGTGTTCCTCTTTGTGCCTCTGGCACTTGCTGGGCCCAGCTGGGTGCTGTGTGAGCACAGTGACTTCCGAGGCCGTCAGTGGCTGGTGGGCAGCTGTGAGATCACCAACTGGCTAACGTACAGCGGGACCCAGAGGGTGGGCTCCCTTTATCCCATCAAGCAGGTGAGTTGCACATCTAGGGTTAAGCATGTCTGTGCTGACCCGTCTGGATGTGTGTCTGTCTAGGTGTGATCTGTCCATGTTTCCGAAACTCAGCGTTTGTGTAGCAGTGTGTCAGTCAGGATTCTATAGAGAAACAGATTATATCTCTATCTGTTCACACCCACTGTTTCTCTGCACATGTGTGTGTTCATTATTTTTTTCTGTTTCTGTGTAGAACCCTGACTGATACACAAATGTTGTCTCACTCTATAATAAACCAACCTGCTACCATTGAGTTGATTCTGACTCATAGTGATCCTATGGGACAGAGTAGAACTGCTCCATAGGGTTTCCAAGGCTATAAATCTTTATGGAAGCAGATTGCCACATCTTTCTCCTGCTTCTCTATCTCTGTGTAGAGAGAGGCATTGGCTCATAAGACTGTAGGGACTAAAAAGTTTGCAATCTGTAGGCCGCAGGCTAGACATTCAGGTAGGATTTCTCTGTTACAGACTTCAGGCAGAATTCCTTGTCTGGGAACTTCAGTTTTTGCTTGTAAGGCCTTCAGCTGCTTAGATGAGGCCCACCCACATTATTGAGATTAATCTCCATTACTTAAGAGTCAGCAGATTGTAAATGTTAATCACAGCTACCTGATACCTTCACAGCAATATCTAGGCTAGCGTTTGACTAAACATTCTGCACCATAGCCTAGCCAACTTGACACATAAAGTTCACTATTAGAAGCGTTGTCACAATTTTTTCCACATTATCATTTTTCTAGAACTTTTATCTACTTACTATTTTTCTCTAAATCAACTCACTTTCTTTCTCACTTTATCTTTGTCCAAAGGAATGATATCCATGAAATCAAGTGTTTGATGTACATGCATGATTTTTTCCTTAATAAATAGGATAATAATAAATTACTGTTAAAATTCTTTATTATTTTTTTAAAAAATTTTATTGAGATTTGAGTGAAAGTTTACAAAGAAAATTCATTTTCCATACAGCAGTTCATACACATTTTATTTCATGACATGGACTGCAATTCCCCACAACGTAACAGCTCTCTTCCCACTTCCTCCCCATAGTTACCTCTTCCCTTGGCCTTCCCTCCTATACACTCCTGCCCCACAAGCTATCTCCCTATGCAAACACTGCCCTTTTGTTCTCCCATGATTGATCCCTCCAAGGAATGTATCTGCCTGATGTAAATGTTCACCTCATATGCCTGTCTATTTTTTGGCTGGAAGCCACAAAAGTGAATTCAGTTCCAGACCTGAAGGGTAACTAGGGGCCATAGTCTCAGGGGTCTCACCAGGCTCTATCTGACCAGCAAACATGGTCTCTTTTTTTGTGATTCTGAGTTTTGTTTCAAATTGTTTTCCCACTCTATCCAGGATCTCCTGCACTGATCTCCTTCCAAGTGGTTGACAGTGGTAGCTGGGCACCATCTAATTTTTCTGGTCTCATGGGCATATAGGCTAAGGGTCACATGGTCTACTAGTCCCTTGGACTAATTGTTTTTGTGCATCTTTGGTTTTCTTCATTCTTATTCTTCTTTGCTCTGGGTGCTTTTTGCATCTAGATGGCCGCTTGCAAACTTTTAAGACCCTAGTCATTACTCACCAAAATAGGATGTAGAACAATGTTTTTGTGTAGTATATTATGCCAGTTGAGCACGATGTCCCCTGTAACCATGGTCCCGAGTGAGCCCCCAGGTCCAACTACTCGCTCCCTCAGGGTGGTTGGCTATGGCCAATAAGCCACCATAAACTTGCCCCTTGTCAGTTCTGCTATATACCTGGACATTCTTATAGCACATAAAAATGCACATGTAGAAACATTGTCTGCCATCCCTGTGTGTGTTCATGGGCACACTCCCCCCTGCCTAGACGTACAGTACTGTGCATACAAAAGGGTTCATCTTTGTTGTTTGTACCTCTCTATGTCTTCTTCCTCAGTGCCACTGTGTTGATCACTCACTTTTAGTACATTTTCCTTTCCTTCACTCAAATAAATACTTGTTTTTATCTATCTAGCAGTGTTCCTTCCTCTTCCCTCCCTTGCTTCCCATCCCTGGTAACCAAAAAAGAAAACTTCCTTCTATGTATAAACGTTTCCTTGACTTTTTACTATAGTGAACTAATATAATATTTGTCCTTCTGTGATTGACTTATTTCACTCAGCATAATGTCTTCCAAGTTCATCCATGTAATGTGGTATTCTGCAGATTTTATATTATCCTTCAGGGTTGCATAGTATTCCATTGTGTGTATGTACCATAGTTTGTTTATCCATTTTTCTGTTGATAGGTACTTAGGTTGTTTCCACCTCTTTGTTACTGTGAATAGTGCTGTGATGAACATGGGTGTGCATATATCTGTTCTTGCCTTCGCTCTCACTTCTTTAGGATATATACCTAATAATCAGATTACTGGATCAAATGGTATTTCTATTTCCAACTTTTTAAGGAATCATCATGCTGATTTCCACAGTAGTTGTATCATTTTACAGTCCACCAACACTGTACAAGAGTCCCAATCGCTCCATATCCTCACAGTATTTGTTATTTTCTGTGTTGAACTTTGCTATTAATGCTGGGGTGAGATGGTATCTCATTGTTTTGATTTGCAGCTTTCTGATGGCTAATGATCATGAACATTTCTTCATGTGTTTGTTGGCTGCTTGAATATTTTCTTTGGTGAAGTGTCTATTCATATCTTCTGCCCATTTTTTAATTGGATTGTCTTTTTGATGTTGAGGTGTTAGAGTTGTCTGTAAATTTTAGAGATAAAAGTCCTTTGTGTGATATGTTATTGCTTAATATTTTTTTCCCATTCTGTAGGTTTTCTTTTTACTCTTTTGGAGAAATCTTTTGAAGCACATAAAAATTTAATTTTTAGAAGATCCCATTCATCCACTTTATCTTCTGCTGTTTGTGCATCTCGAGTTATGCTTGATAGTCTATTTATGTCATAAATTAGGACCCCTGAGTTTACCCCTACTTTTTTCTTTGATGAACTTTCTAGTTTTAGGTTTCATATTTAAGTCTTTGATTCATCTGGAGTTAATTTTTGTATATGGTGTGAGGTATGGATCTTGTTTCATTTTTCTGCAAATAGATAACCAGTTTTGCCAGCACCATTTGTCAAAGAGACTCTCTCTTCCCCATTTAATGGATTTTGGCCCTTTGTCAAAGATCAGCTGACCATAGGTCAATGGATATATTTCTGGGTTCTCAATTCTATTCTACTGATCTATGTGTTAGGAAGGAGCTCTGATAGCCTAGTGCTAAGGCACTTGACTGTTAACCAGAAGGCTGGCGGTTCAAACCCACCAGCCACTCCTTGGAAGGAAGATGGGGCAATCTACTTCAGTAGAGATACTGCCTTGGAAACCCAAGGAGGGGTCGCTATGAGTTGGGTCCAACTCAACAGTACATAACAGCAACAACAACAACATGTGTTAGGAGCTCTGGTAGTACAGTGCCTAAGGCATTTGACTGTTAACCAGAAGGTTGGTAGTTCAAACCCACCAGCCACTCTGTGGAAGCAAGACTGGGCAATCTACTTGCATAAAGATTTACCACCTCGAAAACCCAGTGGGGGTTGCTTTGAGTTGTCATTAACTCGATGGCAGTGGGTTTGGTTTTTTTTGTTTGGTTTATTCTATGTGTCTGTCATTGTACCAGTACCAGGCTGTTTTAACTACTGTGGCTGTATAGTAAGTTTTGAGATCCAAGAGTGTGAGACCTCTTACTTTCTTTTTCTTCAGCAGTGCTTTGCTTATCCAAGATCTCTTTACTTTCCATATAAATTTAATGATTGGTTTTTCCATGTCCTTAAAGAATGCTGATGGAATCTGGATTGGGATTGCACTGAATGTATAGATTGCTTTGTGTAGTATCGACATATTCACAGTTTTCAAGCTTTTTATCCATGAGCTTGTTGTGTTCTCCCATTTATGTAGATCTCTTATGGTTTCTTGAAGTAGTGTTTTGTAGTTTTCTTTGTACAGGTTTTTTGTGTCCCTAGTGAGATCCATTCCCAAGTATTTTACTTTTTTGGTAGCTATTGTAAATGGTATTGATTTCCTTATTTCTTTTCTGCAGTCTCTTTGCTGGTGTAAGGGAATCCAACTGATTTTTGTATGTTGATCTTGTATCCTGCCACTATGCTAATCTCTCAATTAGTTCCAGTTAGTTTTCTTGCTGAGTCTCTTGGGCTTTCTATGTATAGGATCATATCATCTGCAAATAGGGATGGTTTTATTTCTTCCTTACCAATTTGGATGTCTTTTATTTCCTTTTCTTGCCTTATTGCCCTGGCTAGGACTTCCAATACAATGTTATAAATAAAAGTGGTGTTAGAGAGCATCCTTGTCTGTTTCCCATTTGCAAGGGGAGTGGTTTCAGTCTCTCTCCATTGAGAATAATGTTGGCTGTCGGTTTTGTATATATGCCCTTTATTATGTTGAGGAATTTCCCTTCTATTCCTATTTTTCTGAGAGTTTTTTTTTTTTTTTTAATCAGGACGGGGTATTGGATTTTATCAAATGCCTTCTCTGTATCAATTGATACGATCATGTAGTTCTTTTCCTTTATTTTATGTGATGGATCAGATTGATTGTTTTGCTAATATTGAACCATCCTTGCATATCTGGTATGAACTATAATGTATTATTTTTTTGATACGTTGTTGGAGTCTATTGTTTAGAATTTTGTTGAAGATTTTTGCATCTATATTCATGAGAGTTATTGGTCTGTAGTTTTCCTTTTTAGTGATGTCTTTGTCTAGTTTTGGTATCAAGGTTATGCTTGCTTCATAAAGTGAATTTGGGAGAGAAGACAGATTTGGAGTAATCCCTCACAGATAGCCAAACACCTTGAGAGAGAGAACCACTAGGTCTGCTGATTCAGGACCATAGTATTGGGGGACACGAGCTCAATTGGCACAACATAATACATAAAAATGTTGCTCTATAACCTATTTTGGTGAGTAGTGACTGGGGTCTTAAAAGCTTTCGCGTGGCCACCTAAGATGCAGGTAATCATTTCCTCTTGTCTGAAGTGAAAAAGAGTGAAGAAAACCATGGGCATTTGGAAACAATCAGCCCTCTGATATGATGGACCTTGAAACCAGAACTAGATGATGTCCAGCTGGCAATGCCAACCACTTGGGAAGGGATCAAAACTGGAGCTCCTGGATGGAGTGGGAGGGAAAATGTGGAACAAAATTCAAAAACACAATAACAACTAGAATTACTGGTTGGACGGAGTCTGGTGGGATCCCCAAGACATTGGCCCTGGGATACACTTTGGGCCTGGAATAAGACTCACTCCCAAGGACTGGCTCTCAGCCCAACAGTAGAAATACTTAAATGCAGAGCACCCAACCCAGGGTGATGTACCCACCTAGTCTATGGAGATATACACCTTGGACCAATAGGACATGGGGCACCAGAGGGCCAGCGTTCACATGGAGGGAAAGCTGAACAGACAGGAATGCATAATGAAGAAGGGCACAGGGATAGGGGAGTCACAGGGAAGGGAGAGAAGGAGAGTGGGTTAGAGTTAGGGATGGTAATTGGGGAGTGAAACCAAAATGTACATGAATTATTAAATACGAAACAAATTCTGCTCTGTAAATTTGCACCCAAAGCACAATAAATAAATAAAGAGGTGCAACTATACCAAAAACCCAACTCACTACCATTAAGTCAATTCTGACTCATAGCGACCCCTCCTTGGGTTTCCGAAGTGGTATCTCTATGGAGGTAGATTGCCCAGTCTTCCTTCTGAGGAGTGGCTGGTGCGTTTGAACCGCCAGCCTTCTGATTAGCAGTCACAGCACTACGGCACCAGAGCAGAGCAGAGCTAAAAGAGCTTTGCAGCACTTGCCTGAGCAAGGCAGAGGCCAGGCTAAGAGGCCAAGGGTTAGAGAGAGACATGTCTTTGGGCATGGCCAAGGGGAAGTGATCCTGATTGAAGAATTGTATCCTGAGTGTTCCTGAATCTGAATTGTAACCTGATATTTCCCTAATAAACTCCCTAATTATGAGTTAAAAAAAAAAAATTTGGGAGGATTCCATCCTTTTCTATAATCTGGAATAGTTTGAGTAGGATTGGTGTCAGTTCTTCTCTGAACATTTGGTAGAATTCTCCAATGAAACTGTCTGGGCCAGGACTTTTTTTTTTTTTTAATTTTATTGTAATTTGGGTGAAAGTTTACAGAGCAAATTCATTTTCCATACAGCAGTTCACATACACTTTGTCTCGTGACGTTGACTACAATTTCCCACAATGCAACAGCTCCCTTCCCATTTCCTCCCCATAGTTACCTGTTCCCTGTGTCCTTCCCTCTCATGCACTCCTGCCCCCCTCGAGCTGTCTTCCTGTGAATGCACAGCCCTTCTGTTCTCCCCTGATTGATCGCTCCAAGGAGTTTATCTACCTTATGTAAATGTTCAGCTCATAGACCTGTCTTTTGTCTGGTTGGAAGCGACAGGAATGAGTTCAATTCTAGATCTGAAGGGCAGCTAGGGGCCATAGTCTCAGGGGTCCCACCAGACTCTATTGGACAAGCAAACCTAGTCCTTTTTTTTTTTATGATTTTGAATTTTGCTCCACATTGTTCTCCCTCTCTATCCAGGATCTCCTACATAGAGATTGTCAGTGGTAGTTGGGCACCATCTAGTTCTTCTGGTCTCATAGTCATATAGGCTGAGGATCACATGGTATACCAGTCCCTTGAACGAATTGTTTTCATCCATCTTTGGTTTTCTTCGTTCTTCTTTGCTCTGGACAAGGAGAGACCCATCATTGCACCTAGATGGCTGCTTGCAAGCTTTTAAGATTCCAGTTACCAGTTACCAAAGTAGGATGTGGAGCGATGTTTTTGTGTAGTATGTTATGCCAATTGAGCTTGATGTCCCCTGAGACCATGGCAGAACTTTTTTTTATTGGTAATTTTTTTATGACCTGTTCAGTTTCTTCTTGTGTTATGGATCTGTTCAAATTTCCCACCTCAGCCTATGTTTAGGTAAGTACTATGTTTCTAGAAGTCTGTCCATTTCTTCTAGATTTTCAGATTTGTTGGAGTACAGTTCTTCATAGTATTCTGGTGTTATCCTTTTTATTTTGGTTGATTCTGTTGTGATGTCACTCAGTTCATTTCTTATTTATGTTATTTGTATTCTTTCCTTCTTTTCCTTTGTTAAGTTTGCCAGTGGTTTATTAATTTTATTAATCTTTTCAAAAAACCAACTTCTAGTCTTATTTTTTTCTATTATTATTAAATTAAAAAAAAATAAGTTTATCCATGTAGGTCTAAAAATTATCTCCTGTATCAACCACCAGTCATAAGCATGTTTCACTTTGGGATATGCTTTATCTGTAGGGTCTGTCTGTGTGCATTTATGTGCATGTGCATTTACATGGAGTCAGCCATGGGGTCGGTGCATGTGTGTGCATGTCTGAGGGTACTTCCGTGCCCACAATGTGATTTGTGTCCCTGTGTCTGTGTGCCTCGCAGGTGCACCTGTGGTCTGGGAATGCTCATGTATCTGCGGAAGTTTGTTTATGACTCTGCATGCCCGTCTTAGTGACACTGGTGAGAGTGTGCATGTGTCATTGTATGGTGGTAGTTGTGTAGTACCGTTAGCGCTCAACAAAAACATCATTGCTAGAAGATATCTTGGAGAACATCTCTGTCCCTCACATTTTGCAGATGGGGAAATAAAGGCCCAGAAAAGTAGACAAGGATTTGCTCTGTAACCTTGGGCAAATACTGTTATCTCTGTGGACGTCAGTTTCCTCATCTTTGAAATGGGGATAATATATATCATGGAGTAGTTGTGAGGACTGAAGAAAAGCAATGTATATAAAACCCTTAGAACAGTGCTTGCATGTATCAGCACTCAACAAACGTTAGCTGTGGTGATGATTATTTGTATATGACCATCACCGCCATCCAAGACCCCAGACTGATTTGTAGCAGAACCAGGTCTGATGTCTAGTCCAGTGGCTACCACATCATGGCACTTAAGTGTTTGCATGCATTTCTTTCTGTGAGTGTGTGTGCCTGTCTGGGTTTCTACATTCATCTGTCCCTTTAGCAAGCTTGAGTGTCTGGCATGGAGTAGGCAGGGCAGGCCTGTGTGTTGGTTAGGCTGTGTGAGCTTGGATGGCTTTTCATATTCATGTGTTTGTATCTGCTGTGAACATCTGTGCAACTGTGTGCACCATGAGTGTATCTGTCAGTGTGTCTGTCTGCACACATCTGTGGGTAGGTATCTCTTTTGATATGGAGCTGTGTGTGCTATGTATGTGTTTTTGAGTGTATGTGCGTGAAAGAAGGAAGGACTTAGAAGCAGGTCGGAGGAAGGTTAGAGGCAGGAAGGAAGGTGGGAGCTTGATTCTGGGGGGCTCTAGAGTTAGAGGTGCTGGGGCCCAAGTGGGAACATCCCTGACCAGAGGCCCCTGACCCTTGGCTCCCCTCCCCACCAGCGCCGGGCTTATTTCCGCCTTTGGAATGCAGCCCTGGAGGGATTCCTGGCAGTGCCGGACCATGTTGAGGACATGAAGGCGGGCCGGGTAGTGGTTTCTGAGCCTCGAGCTGGAGGCAGCTGCATCTGGTACTACGAGGATGGGCTACTGAAGAACCAGGTACCAGCTGAGGGGCTGGGACAGGGACACCAGGGCCCCAGCCACTAGTGGGCCCACTTTGGGAAGCCCAGGGCAGTTAGAAACAGGACCCACCCTTGGGCCAGACAGACAGAGAGATACACCCAGATGCCAGGACCCTTGGGAGGTGGAGAATGTAGCCTGTGCACCCCACGCAAGTCATGTTCACTGAGCCTCGGTCTCCATCTGCAGAACAAGAGTGTTGAACCAGATGCTTCTAGCAGACCTCCGCACCTCATAGCCTGTGACAGGACTTGAATCTTGATAACGGACAGATTCACTCCACATTTACTAAGCACCTACTATGTTCCAGCCCCTGTCCTAGGTGCTGGGAATACAGCAGTGAGAAGATAGAAAGGACTCCTGCCCTCCTAAAGCTTATATCCTAGTGGAGACAGATGAGAAATGACAGAAATTCGTAAAATAGCTTAGTAGCTTACATGACACAAAGTGTTATAGAGGAAAAACACATCAAGAGAAGAGAATAGGGAGTCTCAGGGAGCTAAACATTTTGAATAGGGTGGTTAGGGAAGCCCTTCCTGAGAAGGTACCATTTGAAGGCAGCCATGAGGGAAGAGTGTTTCAGGCAGAGGGAATAGTCAGTGCCAAGGCCCTGAGGTAGGAACATGGCTGGCATTATCTAGGACTGAGCAAGGCCACCTGAGTAGCTGGAGTGAAGTGGGTGAGGAAGAAAGTGCCAGGAAATGAGATTAGAGAGGCTATGAGAGGTGTAGGTCTTTGTAGGCTATTGAAAGGGTTTTGTCTTTTACTTGGAATGAGAGAGGGAACACTTGCTATATGCCAGGCACTGTATTAAGCCCTTCACATGAATGCTCATATAATCCTTATGGAGCATTGTGGGGCAGGTCCTACTATACTCCCTGTTTTATAGGTGAGGACACCAAAACACAGAGAGGTTGAGTAATTTGCCAAAAGTCACACAGCTAATAAGCAGAGCTGGGATCAGAGGCATATCTGATGCTAAAGCCTGTGCTTTGGGAGTTAAGTCATGGAAGATTTCTTGGAGGAACTAATATTTTCCCAGCCCTTTTATAGTTCCTACATTGAACCCTCACAACAACCAGCTTCCCATCCTTAAGGAAACCAGAGCTCAGAAGGAGTAAGCAACTTGCCCAAAGTCAGATAGTCATAAGAGCCAGGATTCAAACCTGGGTGTGTTGAGGGCATCTTGGATTTGGTAGAGTCTCTGTGGGGAGGAACAGTACCTGATGATCTTCTGGGGCCTCAGGTGGCCCCCACCATGAGCCTGCAGGTGATTGGGCCCCCCAGCACGGGCTCCAAGGTGGTGCTGTGGGCTGAGAGCCGCCTGCCCCGCCAGACATGGAGCATTAAGGAATCAGGCCACATCTGCAGCCAGATGTTTGAAGACCGGATCCTGGATGTGAAGGGTAAGGTGTGGATGTGTGTAGGGAGAGGGCACTGTGGGGGTTGAGGGCAGTGAAGTCAGCAGCTGTCTGTAACTATCTCTTACTATCCATCTCTTACCACCCCCCAGGAGGCCGGGGCTATGACCGGGACCATGCAGTACTGTGGGAACTAGCTGAGGACAGGGCCTCTCAGATCTGGACCGTCCACGTGCTTTGAGCCCCTACTCCTCTCTCCCACATTCTTCTGGAGCCCTGGAGGCTGTTGCTGAGATAAACTATTTTTTACAGGTTTTTGTTGTTGTAACATAATCTGTTTTCTAATATACTCCCAGGCACCCTTGTCTGTGCTCCTTGATATTTGGGAGGTAGCGGGGTGGAGAGAGTGCTTTGTCCACCTGCCGTCTTGCTCTAACCCTCAAGCTGCTTTCTTCCCTCCCTGCCCTAGTTCAGGAGCTCTGGTGGGGTAGTGCCTAAGACATTTGACTGCTAACCAGAAAGCTGGTGGTTCAAACCCACCAGCCACTCCTCGGAAGGAAGACTGGGCAATCTACTTCCATAGAGATACCACCTTGGAAACCAAGGAGGGGTTGCTACCAGTGGAATCCACTCAACCGCAGTGAGTTAGTGAGTTAGTTAGTTAGGGGCTCAGAGACAAAGCCTCTCTCTGCCAGCAGAGGGAGCCCTGGGACTGGACAAACGGGTGTAGCTCTGTGCAATCAGCCTAAATGATAGGTAGTTATAAACCTGCCTTGTGCCTGGTCTCGCAGGGGTGGGGAGCTCTTTGAGCCTCTGTAATAGGGGATGCCCAAGGTCTAGGTGTGTATGTGTGGGTCTTCTGGGAGCATCACTCCCAGAAATCAAGGGACAGGTGAAGCAAATACAACTAAAAAGAGATGGCATTTCTAGGGCTCATCCCTGCAAGGGGAGGAGCCCTCAGCATTTGGACTTTGGGGTAGGACAGCTGGATGGCAACTCCCTGGTGCCACCTCTCTGGCTCATGGGGTTGCTGCTGCAAACCCAGCTCCTAGGGCCCTGCGATGCCCAGTGATGACACACAGGACCCCACTCCAAGTACAGGGATAACTTTATTGATCCTCATCTATGTGGCACTTGCTCCTCCACATCAGGACCTCTTTGTTTTAGCCATTGCCCCCAAAGTGCTGCTCTGTTGATTCCCACAACCTGATGATATCTGGCATCAACCCCTCCTAAGGATTAGGGGGGAAGGAGATCTTGCTAGTCATGGTGGCAGCTATTTCAGGGGCATGGGCTGAGGCATGCCACTTCAGCTGAGATGGAAGAGGTGGATGAGGGTGCTGGTCAGGAGGAGGAGGAGGACACTGCTGCTGCCCAGGCTGCCGAGGTTGGAGGCCTCACTCATGCTAGTTCTCTTGGTGGTGAAGTTTGAGGAGACTGCAGTGTGTATCTGCAAGAGGAGATGTGGGGGAAGCTTTTGAATCTCATGTTTGTTATTTAAAGGCTTAATACCCCCGCCCCTAGTGAAACAGTGCTCACTTCTCTCTCTCATATGACTACTGCCTCTGCTACAAGGTCCTGGTGGGCCCCCTTGGCTGCTTCCTTCCTTGGCACAGACAGCAACAGGATTGGTCCCTGATCTACCCCTCACTGAGCCTTCATTTCACTTTTCACAGGCCACCAGTGCCTTCAGTGTCAAGGGACAGGAGGGCCTGAACCAGTTTCTGCAGGAAGTCAGACCCAAAAGCTGTGCCCACAGCCCTTGACCTTACTACATGGACAAGGAATGTAACCTCTCTGAGCCTCAATTTCCTTTTCTTCTTCATAGGGAGAAGAGATCTTCACAGTTGTGAGGGTTATGTGAGACAGGGCTGAGTGAGAAGGCACTTGGTAAAGGATGGATGTGTGGGTAGGTGGATGAGTGGGTGGGGAAGGTGAAATTTCGTTTCTGAAGAAATGGCCAGATGGTGATCAAGCTGTTCTTACTGCTTGATCAAGCTGTTCTTGATGGAGATTAAGCTGTTTTTGATGGCGGTCAAACTGAACTTGATGCTTGATCAAGCTGTTCTTGATGGATATTTAGCTATTTTTTGATGATGATAAGACTGAACTTCATGCTTGATCAAGCTGGTCTTGATCAAGAACTTGATGGCTCCTGATTTCTGTACTGACTAGTCCCCTTTGGGCACATGGGATGCTGCCAAATCTGCCTCCCAGAAGGGCAGTTGATTTTGAGATCCAGTTGTTTCTGGAATGGGAGCTTTCTCTCTCCTTGGCATTCCCAAACACCCAGGCTTTTCTCCCCTGTGGGGTCCCCTACCACCTGCAGAACGAGAGCAGCTCTACTTGTCAATTTCATGCTCCCCCTCCCATAGGACTATTTCCCGTGTGGATTGATGCCATCCTCGCTTAGGACTATCTTCCCAACCCTCTTAATTCATTATTATTCCAAAACACCCTTTGTGTGCCCCAGTGTGCCTCGCACCCTGTAAGTGCTCCCTCGTCTCAGCTACCAAACTTTTGCTCAGGAGAACTAAGCAATCCAACTTCAGCCAGAAGAGCCGGGAGGCTGGGCATCCAGGCTGCCTGAGTCCCTAGTTCCCCTGCTGAGACCTGTCTGCTTCTGTTGCCATGTCAGGAAGCTGGGCCTCCAGGAGCCTGCATTTCTTCCTTCCTGTCCCAGGCAGGGATGGGGAGGTCTGGGTGGTGGTATCAGGGGATCTGAGGGGCTGCCCTTACCTGAATCATGAGCAGAAGGCTGATGGTGAGTAGGAGGAGGAGGAAGCCCTTCATCCTGGGAGGATCTTGGAGGCTCTCTTGCTTAGTAGCTGTTGGAGATGATCGCAGGGTTGTCTGTATGTCTGTTTGGGCTTGGCTGCTTTTGAACCAGGAAGCAGAGGAGGCGGGGTGGTGGGAGAGGAAGGAGGGCCTGCGGAGGAGTGGGGACTACTTCCTTTCTACAGACCTGGGGATTGATGATACCTGACCCAAGGCTCTAAGGCCCTGGCAGATGATGGGTTTGAGATAGGGACCAAGTCAAATCCAAGGCGGGGGGGCGGGAAGAGAGCAAACCAAGGGGCAACTGTGGGACAGTGACTAGGACACTGGGCTTGCATGAGTCATGCATGCTGGGGATTGACTCTTAATCCCAACACCTGCCCCCTTTAAGACCCTGGGCCAGAAAGTGTACCTCTCTGAGCCTTTTAACAATAGCGGCCAAAGGATGAAATGCAATCACTTGTTTAAAAGTATTGACAGATAGTATTCTATTGATGTTTTTAAAAAAGTAGATTGGGGCAGAGGATAGGAGCTTCAGGAGAAATGATTGGGGGTAGATTTCAGTTTCCAGGTAAGGTTGGAAGCAGAGCCACAAGTTCAGAATGATGGCTTGGGAACATTAGAAGAGGGTGGTGGACTTCTGTGGATGACGGAGCACTGGATCAGGAGTCAGGAATCCTGGCTTCTAGCACAAATCATAGCATGACCTTGGGCAAGCCCCTTGTTCTCTCTGAACCTCAGTTTCTTCATTTCAAGTGAGAAGACAGAAGGGGATGGTTTCTGAAGTTTCTTAAGGCCTAGTGATTTGGGTAAAGAAGCCCTATGGGGCGGTTCTACTCTGTCCTGTAGGATCACTGTAAGTCGGAATGAACTCCATAACAGTGGGTTTGGTGAACCTCTGAGGGTGAATGATTGTAGGGGTTTGTGAGAGCTAGGGAGGAACTGGCCCATAAACTAGGACCAGTGGGAGGTGTGCTCGTGGAAGGAAAGGCAAGTAACTAGACTCCAGCAGAAGGGGATTTGAGGCAGGGGTGGCCATGGGGTCTCGGCTGGAGGTGGGGCAGTGAAATGAATCATAAAGATGATTGAATGAAATGAATCATAAAGCTGATTGGTTGGTGCTCCAACTTTTACACCTCCTCTTTTTTCACTCAGTGAGGCTGTGCAGTAGGTTTTATAATTAAACCCATTTTCCTGATGAAGAAACTGAGGCTTAGAGGTTAAGTGACTTGCCCAAGGTAGTAAACAGTGGAGCCAATCTCATTTGAACTTGAATCCGGGTCTATCTGAAGTCATAGCCATGTATATAATATCTGGGGCTGCCTTAGAATTTACGGGTTAAGTCCTGATTCTTTACCTCCCAGCTCAGCTTCCTGGAAAACACTGCAGCCAGTTCCTGCCTCACCCACTCTCCCTTTCTTAGTCTATGTTGTACCTCATTTGCATGCCTCATAGTAAGGGGGGACTCCTCCACCCCAGTTCTCTTCTATGTTTATGGGCCTTGTGTTGCATACCTGGGAAAAACCCTGAGTGGGCCCTTAGAGGCCTCTAGCCCCTAAGATTATATCAGAAGGAAAAAGGAACTGAGATTTAGGACTAGCAAGAGAAAACCTGAAGAGGAGGAAGGCAGGAGCCTTTGGGGACCTGGGAAGGAAGATTAGGGAGGGAAGTATGAGGAGCCCCCAACTCCCTATCACTCCTGGCTCCCATCTCCTTCACCCAGATGTCTCTCCTGACCTCTGACCCAAATTCTTGCCTGGGTTGGTGTAGCCGGTGGTGCAGTGGTTAAGGCATTCAGCTGCTAACCAAAAGGTCTGTGGTTCGGACTCACCAGCTGCTTTGTGGGAAGAAAGGTGAGGCAGTCTGTTTCCATAAATATTTACAGCTCAGGAAACCCTATGGGGTGGTTCTACTCTGTCCTGTAGGATCACTGTAAGTTGGAATGAACTCCATAACAGTGGGTTTGGTTACCCTGTGAGGGTGAATGATTGTAGGGGTTCGTGAGAGCTAGGGAGGCTGCCAGAGGCCTGACAAAGGAACTACCCATAAAATAGGAGGCCCATGTTGAAATCCAACACTGCCTGGCTTCTTCACCCTGGGCAGTCATCTCCCCTTTATGAAGAGGTGGCTGGATGAGATGAGCCCTGGGGAGAGGAGTGCTGGTTTCCCCATGCTGAGGAGACATGGGAGGATTCTTATGTGCCAGATTCCTATTAGTGAAAATTTGCTTACAAACCTCATGTCATACTGTACTTGTATCCCCCAAACTGTATACCATCTTGGCTGGGCCATGATTCTCAGGGGTTTGGCAGTTATGTGATGATATAATTTGGCAGTTATATAATGATGTTATCATCCCCTGTGCTGTGATATGATGTGATCAGCCAATCAGTTGTAAAGGGGTAAGGGGGGCATGTAACACCCTTACTCAGGTCACAACCCTCATCCTATGTAACAGGAGTTTTCCTGGGGTGTGTCTGTATCACACCTTTTATCTTACAAGAGATGAAAAAGGAGAGAAGCAAGCAGAGAATAAGGGACTTGACTACCACCAAGAAAGAATAGCCAGGAGCACAGTGAGTCCTTT